AAAGCAACAGCAGCTGATAAAAACTTTCGAGCCATCATAATCAAAAACCTGAAAAAAAAATTAGTTGCAATGGCAGCAAGTGAAACAATTGCAGGAGCAACAGCGGCAATCATAACACACACACACACATCCGCACGCGTGGGGCTCACTTGCATTGCTGCTGTTGCTGCAATCGGCGGATCGACAAGACAGCCAGCCGAGTACAATCGATCGGACGGTTCAAATTGATTCAGAATTGCACTCGACAAGCGCAACACCAGCAGCAGCAATAGCAAAGCAAGTCAAAAACTTACGAGAATACCAACAAACAATAGATAGTTGGCAGACCTCCATACATACTACATACATATGTATATGGAGAAAACGGCTGAAGAAGCTGGAGCTGCTGACCAGCGGCGATCTGTCGTTATACTCGGTATATTTAGGTTTGTATGTGGAGAACAGTAGTAACTCGGTGCGGTGCGATAACACCGAATACAGCAACGCTTCCAATACTTTGACAAGCACGATCAACAGCGATCAACATCGCCAGCATCAGCACCAGCACCGGCACCGGCCTCAGCACCCATACAAAGCGGCTAGCAGCGCGCCGATCAAAACACCGCTACTATGTACTACTGCCAACCACCGTTCAAGAATCGATTCTGATCTTCACAACGCCTAACGAGTAGCTACTATCCTCCATCGTCACAGTGAATTGTTTTCCCAGTCGTAATCGGATCGTGTTGGCAAACGGACGTCAATAGCGGAGCAACGATTTTCAATTGATTGAACTAAACTGAACTGAACCGAACCGAAGTGAACTGTGTGAACAACACAACCATCGATCAGTGCGCGCATATCAGCAGTAAAAACTGCAAACGATCAGAAAATTTTATAAATTATAAATTAAATTAAATATCTATATGTACATATATAAATATATTTTTTATATACATATATGAACAATACCCTGCATACGATTGAATGAGGAAAAGATTAAATTTTGATATTTGTTGAAGCGGCGAAACAACCAAAGTACAAAGATCGCATATAACGGGTTTGTAGCTAGAAGAAAAATCGAGCAAAATTTTTGAACGCATCCTTTAAAAGAAAAAAAAAAACTTAAAAAAAGTAAAGTTGATTAACTGAAAAGTGAAAAAAAACTCGTTAAACATTGAAATCGAAAAGTTGAAGTCGAGTTGAAAAAGACAAAAAAAAAACTAAAAATTCTCATAACTCACAAAAGCTAAAATCTCCGCATGAACGGGGAATTTTAGAGGGTGCCTGTTAGATTATTTCGAGCGATACGCGGCCACTTGTTGCTGTCTAGATGTCAAATGTTAACATTTTATATACCTACGTATGCATGCTCAAATTGAGATCAGTAAATACATATACACGAATTAAGGGCATTACTCAAACGAAAAAATAAAAATAAAATCTTCAACTTTCTACATCGATTTTTGTTAAAGAAAATCTTAAAACTAGTATTGAAAAGTGATTTCAAACAATCCACAGTGAACTAACTATTTAAGGAATTTTGGGGGAAAAAAATAACTTTACAATATGGAAATTCCGCGCAAGCCTGCGTCAATACGTTAAAACCCCGAAATCGTGCAAAAAAAAACCCCACAAAGTAAAGACGAAGCAGTTTGCACTAAAAAAAAAAAACAAAACAACCAACAAAGTCCAAGGCACTTACGTTGCCTGTGGCCTGCCTTTCTACACTCACACACTACGCTGTGCCGCTTTGATCCTTGCAACGCACTCAGTGCATGACTTTGAGTGCGCGCGCGCCCTAACATCAACATCGGCAGCGGACAGAAGCTAAGAACAACAAGCAGCTACACATAAAAGTTAGTACGCCTACAACATACGACGGACTTGAGCGGCGATAAACGCAGCAGTGATAAGCGTTGTTAAGCCGGCACGTACACACATACAATCAAACGGAAACGCATACATTCAAACACACACGCATATACTGATATTTTAGGTGCCTACAAATGTAAAGAGCTTAACGGCGCATTGTTGTGTGATGAAATTCGTATACTAAGTGGCGTGAAAGTCATCAGATTGATAAGGATTGACTGCAACAACACAAAAAACAAACTAAGCAACTTTTGAAAACAGTACAGCGTTGTGCATATATTTATTGTTTTTGTTCTGTTTTAATTTGTGTTAGTGGTTTTAAACAAACAAACAAACAAACAAAAAAAACAAATACAAATATAAATACATCTGATTAAATATTCCACGCCTAAGTGACGAAAGTGTGGCAAACGCAATTGAAATCGTCTTGAACTTTATCCTTCATTGAAGCGTATTACGAAAACACGCAGCCGCAAAATGGCATCCTTTGTCTATGCTGTTTGGAGTATAACCAATGTCGCTTCGGTGCATTGTGCCGTGCGTCCAGAGCTGTCGCCCTGTACCTGTGAACCCATCTATGCTGACAACTATGTGGAGCTGTCGTGCGAGAAGGTGGACTCGTTCCATCAGATCGTCGATGCTTTGTCGAATAAATTTGATCCGGACGTGAATATAAGCTTAAAAATATCACATTCACAGTTAGAGGACTTGGAAATGCGTTCGTTTATGGATATGAAATTGAAATTGGTGAAGCTACGAATGCAATGGAATTCTTTGAGGTGAGTGTACTTTGATGTGTTTTTGTTTTTTTTTTTGTCGTCGGGAAAGTATTGGCATAGCAAAATGTGTATAATAATGGAGTGTGAACTGGCACTCTGAATTTATGTATGTATGTACATTTCTATATATGTATTTGTTTGGAAAATTGGAATTTTGGGAAATGTAGAATTCATAATATATAAAATTCGTATATCAGTTGTTTTGGGGTCGGTGGGTCGGTGGAATGAAAACGTATTTTTTTCATATCGCGAAACGCCACAGTATGTAAGTTAAAATGGTAGTCCAGCAAATATATAGTGAAAAAATTGCGTACTTTTTTGAAAATAGTCAGAATCCTCTCAGAAATAAATGCCGCACAGTGGTCAGATAAACCTCGTTTTACGAGAAAAAGGCTAATTTTAAGACTTATATAAATTAGACGGAATAAAGCTATTGTTATTCATAAATGCCCAACGAACTCAAAACTGATTAGTACTTTCAATAATATCTTCTGAGAAAGCGGCTGAATCCGTTTAAAACGTTCTAACAGTTATGAGTTGATAACTTTCTTAACAATTTTTTTATGGAAACTTTCGATTATAACACTAATTGCTGGTTCGTTCTTACTTCTTAAACATTGAAAATAATGATTCCATTTGAAATATTACATAATAAATCTCGGTTGCTAAATTATTAACATCTTAATAACACGGCTTTTTTCAAGAAATATTTTCTTCGCAAAGGTATAACTAATTTGGTAGGACCGAGTAGGATCTTCATTCCTTTACCGAAAACTAATGCAAAGGTCCCTTTAAGGATCTACGAAAAGAAAAGCCGCACATACTTGCGCCAAAAAGAGTGGCGACCATTTTTATTTCACTAGACCAACTTTATTTTCCGAATAACATAAAGTGTGTTAAAATATTGAAAATTAATGTAATTTATTCTATATTTAACATCATATCATTTATAAGATGTGCCTTAACAAAGCTGAAGCAAGAATTCAAAAAATTACTGAATTCTCATGAAATTTGGTATTTAGAGGTTCTTAAGTTCGCTCATTACAAATTTCAAGCTACACCTTTTCCAACAGTATTTCAGAAAAACACAAATGTATTTCAGAAAACCTCAAATGTATTTTAGAAAAGGTCAATTGTATTTCAGAAAAAATCAAACAATTTTCAGAAAAACGTAAATGTATTTCAGAAAAGGGCAAATGTATTTCAGAAAAGCATAACTGTATTCTAAAAATATTTTTCTGAAATACATTTGCGTTTTTCTGAAAATCTTTCGATTTTTTCTGAAATACAATTGTGTTTTTCTGAATTTCATTTGGCTTTTTCTGAAATACATTTATGCTTTTCTGAAATACATTTGCCCTGATTTGATTTTTTCTGAAATAAAACTGTTTTTCTGAATTTCATTTGGCTTTTTCTGAAATACCATTGGCCTTTTCTGAAATACATTTGAGCTTTTCTGAAATACATTTGAGGTTTTCCGAAATACTTTTGAGTTTTTCTGAAATTCATATGGCCTTTTCTGAAATTCATTTGGCCTTTTCTGAAATACATTGGTGTTTTTCTGAAATACTGTTGGAAAAGGTGTAGTGTTTGAAAATTAAAAATGAAAAATCCAATATGGCGTCCGAAATTTAAAAAAATTCAAACCTGAAGAACTTTATATAAAAATTAAAAAGACTGAAGTTTTGGAAATTACGACTTTCGTATAATATAAAACAATCTTAAAAAAACCGTTGGGCCTAGATCAAGTTGTTTAGGCTGAACATATAGCAACTGGCCCCAATTATCCTTAATATATAAATATAATTACTGCTTTATTTCATAATTTAATCATAAATTCATTTTAGATATGTTATATATATTTGTATTATATACGAGATAAATAAAATTTTGCTAAACAAACATTTTGTGTTACTCAACTGAAAATGACAGTTGATTTAACAGTTGTCAAACGACAGTCTTAAACTCTTAAGGATTTAATTTGACACGCAATTCGTGATTAGCATGTCTAAAAACCTATTCAGTGGCATTTCGAAAAAGATTGTCTTATTTTTAGAAAAATTTGTATAGGCCATTTGACAGCTGTCAACTGTCAGGGTTTTAATTTGACATAAAATTCGTGATCAGCATGTCAAAAACCGTAATCTGTGGTATTTTCAAAAAGATTTTCTTAATTTTATAGAAATTGGCAGTTGATTTGACAGCTGTCAACCCTCAAACTATAAATTTTATGGCATATTCGGATTTAGCATCCGCAGTTTTATTATAATCGTAACAGCCTTTCGCGTAAAACTTGGCTTCTCCTACCACTGTGTGCCGGCCGTTTCTGACAGCCACTCATTGAAGTCCCTGTCTAGACACCGAAGTGGCCTGAATCGTCATGTCAAGTATTCGTAATACACCAACCTTACTGCTTGAGGGGATTACCAACCGTCGCTCGCCCTTGACTTTGTGATATAACCGCCATTTGTACACTTCGTAATCCTGATGGATTTGCTTTGCCGATGCTGAGTCGAATCTCAAGGATGCTACTATTCCCTGAAGCTTTTTATCCTGCATTTGCATCGCAAGCACCCAATCGCTACTACCCTCTTGCATAATGGATAAAACATTATCTGCTACTGACCGACATTCGCTCGATGGTAAACTGAGAGCTCAACTCATTCCGTCTACATGTAGCATCTTATCGCCATGTCGATGAACAGTTTTGAAATCGTATTCTAGTAATTTCCGCCACCATCTGGCAATATGTGGAAGAAGTGATGATGTTGCTTTCGTTGTAACAATAGCGTTACAGTCGGTCACTACGACGATTTGTTTTCCCAGAAGATACATGCTGAAGCATGTAAGCGTCTCAACTATCGCTAACACTTGCAACTCGAGATTCGTAAATCTTGACTCGGCCTCGCTGCATTGTAGGTAGCGGTACCCGTCTACGAATTTGCGAAAGAATCCCGTTAAACCCGGCAATTGCCTTACTTGGGAAACAGTTGTTGACTAGGGAAACTCCTCAGCATAGATCGTCTTCGTTTTTTCTGGAGATATATCTGCTTCAGACATATTGCGCCCCAAGAAAATTACCTCTTTCACACTCGAAATGTCGTAGTGTAAGACCGCCTTTCTTTACCGCTTCCAATATCTCTCGTACAACTATCATTCCTTCTTCGCACGTCCAAGTAGCTATGATCAGTTCGTCCATAACTTATCACCTTGTTCTTTTAGTATTCTCGATAGCTCGCATTGCTTTGCAAATGGTACGTGGTACCGTTTACCCACTATAGCGCTTTCTGTTGTAACATCTATGTCCATTGTTGTAGTTTTGGACCTTCTCAGCGTGGAAATTCCTTTGGAAAAATATTTAACATACTCATTTAACAATTGAAGGACTTCCTTGTTGCTGCTGCTGTAGATCCTTGCTGACGTTTAACTGTGTCCCGCTTTTAATTTGCAACATCATTGAACCCGAGTCAATGATCAAATGGTCAGCAGCCGGACTCCAACATTTGCTATCGCTAATTTTGATCGCCAAAAACCTCCAAAAGAATAGCAGGCGCGCCTAACAACACGCAATATCTAGTTGCATGCGCCCCATACTGCCAGGTTTGGCTGATTACACATTGCATATGTTGCGTTTTCATGGTGTAGACTTTTAGGCCCCAATACTATTTATTTACAGATTTTTGACGACGAAAATTTAGCGAAGCGATAGCCAGAATTCCACTGTAGAGTTGAGCATGCTATGTGGTACCTCATACAGTTGAGCATTGATAACCTTGTCTGCAAACTTTATTTGCGCCTCCGCCATTTTAGATAACAAAAACCTGGTAACATCGAGTTCAGCTCCAAAAGTGGCAATAAAGCGCCGTAAAGTATGCAATATCAGTAATACTAGAATGCATTGATGTGTTACCTCTACAGCTTAATTTTCGGCCATAAAGTTTGTCGACAACAAAATCGTCCGTATCGTCCAAAATACGTACATATGTAAATCTGTAAGTCGAGTTAAGCAATTTTTCATTTATGCAACCAAAATATCTACTGTTAATGTTGTTGCAAAGTTTAGTCAAAGCTTCTTCATATAATAATTGCCATTAAAGGAAAAATTTTCGCCTTAGAAATGTGAACTCATTCTCACGGCTGCGCATTTAGATACAAACATGCATACATAATATGTTTTCAAATGCATGTATGTATGAATGTGCAATTGTGAAAAAGAAATGACATTATAATGGGCATATCATTTAATTACGCTTTCAATCAAGTAATTAGTGCCACAAATGGTTTATAAGATATTGGAATATAAACAATAACAGAGTAATATCCTCAGCATTGCGCCCGTTTTGTAATTTTCTTCAACATTGTACGTACGAATGCATATGTATGTATATAGGGAATAGCCCAACGATGATTACATCTGAGCAGCAAAAAAAAGTGTTGTAAATGAATTTAATTTTTTAATTAGGAAATGCAGCAGCAAATCTCTTTAGCCCCCGCATGACAAAATACATATTGGCAATTTGAGCATTCTTTTGTACACACGTATGTACATATGTACATACATTAGGGTGCATTTATTTATATATTAAGATTTCCGCCAAAATATTTCGGAAAGATATTAAGATTTACAGTAAATACTTTCAAAAATAAATGTAGTTTTAAATTTTTTTTTTTTTTTTCAAAAAATCACCTCGGTTGATAAAAGAGTTTAAGCTTATAACGCCTGCATAAATTTGTTAAAAAAATTTTATCAACGGAATCAAAATAATAAATGTTTTGTTACTATTTTCAAATTAGTTCAGCTCCCGTAAATCTTAATGCATACATATATGTATATTTTGGCGAAAGTCTTGAAATGTAATATTTTTTTTTATTCCGGTGGAAAACCGCAACTTTTTTTGTTGAGTCACCCTAATGTAATGATTTTTCTTCAGTTCCCCATTGCAAAATGGTTATAGGCTGAGACGTATGGGTGGACCTAAAACAAGCGCGTGGGCAATCAT